CTCTTTTTGGCCCAATCTCTCTCTCAATATTTATCCACACTGAGATAGCAATAGTGTCAAATGCTAGTCTAACCAAAGCACAGGTCATTTTTATTTCTATATCTAGACTATATCAACCCTATGCCCCTCATTCCAGGGCATCGCTCAGTATAGTGGTGAAAATAATCAAGGTAAAAGATATATTGCCTTGTCTCCCCTAGCATTAACCTCTTTCCCCTCCCGTGAAAAAACAATAACCAAAACCTGGGCCACTAAGTATCTCTGCCTTTAAATTTATTTGAAATGAATATCTCTGTCTGCACCCCAACATTTATATTTAGCAGAATGAGGTTATTAAACTAGGGAGCACCTGCCACTTATTAATTTAGTCCTTTTTCCCACAAGGCACATGTTTAATTTTAAGCATATGTTTAAGTTGTCCTTATTCAACAAAGTATATAAGCATATGCTTTAGTTCAATGGGACTTAAGTATGTCTGTAAGGCTACGTCTACACTGCAGTTATTTCAGAATAAGCTATTCTGCAATAGTTATTCCAAAATAGTTTATTTCGAAATAGCACGTCTACACTGCAGAGAAGCCTCAAAATTAGTCCGAGGCAGGTTTCCCTAATGTAGACATGCTATCTTGATTGAAAGCCCCAGGAGGAATAACTTAGAATGGCCCTGGTGAGGGGCTATTTTGAAAAAGCAGAAGTGGAGTGTCTACACATGCCTTATTTTGAAATAGCTATTTCAGAATAGGCATTATTCTCCATAGAATGAGGCTTACAGAAGTCAGAATAAGCTGTCTGTTATTTCAAAATTATTTCAAAATAATGGAATTGCTGTGTAGACACTTGCATTGTTATTTCAGAATATGGCTGTTATTTCGAAATAGCTTTGCTGTGTAGACACACCCTAAGTGATTTTCTGAAGCAGGATCTAAAAGCAGGCGCTAATATATTTTAGGAACAGAAACCAAGATATGATAAGGAGGTTCTTTTCTTTTTCTCCTTTGGAAAACCCTTGCTCTACCTAACTATTTGTTGAGTTTTTCTAACTCTCCTTACAACACGGTACTTCTCCTTGCAATTTCTCAATCCTCCTCCATGCAATCAGAAAAGGAAATTCATTCAATTGTAATACATTGGTGCCTCAATGTTCACCAAATTCCCTGACACAAATCTAATGATCCAGAGCGTCCATGTAGAATTAAATCATCAGCTGAATATTTACCATCTGCGTGGTTTTCATTATGTTTTGTCCTTGTTTGCTTGTTTAACCAACTACCCTGCCTTCTAGAGATGGAACAATGTCCTCAGTACATAAGCAACTAATAACAAGTCTTCTGTGCTTCTTAAATGTTAAGCCTTTTCTATTTAGTTTAATGTATTTATTTTATCAGGCTGTCATAAATGTCTTTTAGAATAAGAGTAAATTCAAAGCATTCTACTATCTGATCTTAAGCTTTCACTTTCCTTTGATGATCAGTCAGAAGTATTACAGGAAAAGTAAAGAATATCTTGTGCTATCTTGTTACAAGAAAAACAGGGTTTCTCTAATACTCCAGTGCTCTGATATGATCTCCACCTGAGAGACATATGAAGTGAGATAGACCTGAAAGGTTACCTAGCAATAAGTTGCTAGGTCTCACTACAGAGGAATTGTGGATTCCTTGGGAGTGAAGTAGAGATGGTGCCAGAACTTGTCAGTGTGAATCCATACCTGATCTCAATAACTGTGTAGATTAATCCAATACCATAATTTTCACACATGCACTTTGTGATTGTATTAATAGGAAAAGAATAAATGCGAGAATAAATCCATCTATTTTATTTATCATTTTGATATGAGTAAAGTAGACCTATTTCTTTTGGTCTTAGCCTTCTCTCCCACCTTCTTCTTTTAACAGCTGTTTGGGCTGCATTTATTGGCTGATTTACATTTGGCTGCTAATTGGAGGGGGAAAGTTCCAGCTCCTGTCACCAAAGCTAACTTGCAGGTGGTTGTTTTTACTTGACATCGCAAGTCAGAAAAAAAATCTGATTTTACTTAAGCTACAAGGAGATATGGTATTGCGATGTGGCTGGCTAGAGACAATATGGTCAGAAAGAAATCCCTTCTCTGCTACAACTTCAGGGTGCTGATGAGGATTCATCCCTTCTTACCATATAACCCTCTGGAAGAGTCTATATTAAGACAAGAAGAAGCTTAGCAGTTAAAACATTTGTCTTTTGATATGTGAGACAACCCAGAAATTGAGATGAGTGGCAATGGCACTTCTGATCCCGTTTCTCTTGCACATCTGAAAACCCCTTTGTCAGTTGATCTGTCTAATTAGTGATCCTTTTAATGCACCTGTCACCAAGGTACAAGTACAACAATGACATTTTAACATGAATATCTATGTGTAAAATTCAAAAATTCAAATAGTCCCGGGATACATTCTTCCCATTCTACCCTGACCATTCCACTAATTTCAATTGTGCTGCAAGAATATAACTGAAGGAAAAGCCTTGAGTAGAAAGCAAAATGTGTAATGAATAAACCCAAATTTACTCAATCTTAATATGGTTTTAAATACAAAACTTGCTACAATTACTTTTCAACTTCTTTTACTGAATTTTCAAGTTAAACGGCAGAAAAGACAGTGGTTGGTCGGAAGTCCTGAAAATTGTACAGAAAAGCATGAAAATATAGACAGTAAACACACAAAAACAGATGCAATATGGGGACAACTAAAAGAGATCAACTCACTTTAGGTAACTGACTTTAAATTATCTCTGTATGAAGAGCAATCAAAGAGGTAGGGCAGTTTGCCAGTAAGGGTAATGGCCACAGATTCAATTTCTCTGCTTTATTAGATATTTCTGCTGTGATCTTGGGCAAGTCATTTAGCTTCTCTGTGCCTCAATTCCATTTTGGAAAGGTGGGATATGAATGTTGCATATGTTATGCAGAGATCAGAGAAGAAGGCCATAATGTGACCTTCCAACTTTAAAGTCTATAAGAAAGCTGATCAAACTTCTGCACATTTTTTTCTGATTTCAGTCATTTTTGTTACCTATTCTTCCAGCACTTACTTATGTCTTGCATCACTATGCCCCTAACCCAGGAAGAAACAAGCACAATGCCATTAACTTACTCTCACATGCTTTAAGTTACACATCCGTATAACGATTTCCTGGATCAGAGCCTACAATACATGTTTTTCTGTAAAGCCCTAGCCAGAGTGAGTGCAGAGAGAGGCTTTTGCACATGGTTCACTTCTTCTACATCTTTTAGCCAGGAAGTGATCTGGCAAATCCTTCTTTAAAACAAAGGGCCCATTTTACACTTAATATAATGCTCCTGACACAAACGGTAATACAGCTGTGACGAATTTGCTCCCATGTGCAACTGTGATCATGGAGGCAGTTTATTTTGTGGCACATGTTAATTTGTTTTCATGTGACTTGAACAGTGGAACTCCTGTCCGTGTTCTTGTAGATACTGTCTCTTAACTTCATATGCCATTTTCGGTGTCTCAAATTGCCTACCTTCATGCTAAACCACTGTAGCTAGAAACCTCTGAAGGACAAATCGTATCTGTCTGTATCCATTTTTAGTACATTTGAATTATTGTATGCTAAAAGTATTTCTAGGCTGCTAATTTTTTTACCTCTGTGTAATTTAAGGCTATACAGGGCTCGTACTCTCAGGGTATGTCTACACTATAGAGTTTTGTCAGAAAAACTGCGGTTTTCCGAACAAAACCTGAGTTACGTCCACACTGCAATCGTGTTCTTCTAAAAGTAAAATGAAAGAACAGAGGGATTTTTCCAACATTCCTTCTATGAGGAAGAAGCCTTTTTCCAAAAGAGCTCATTTGGAAAAAGGTTTGTGTGGACAGGGAAAAGGGAGTTCCTTCTAAAGAAGAAAGAGGAAAAAGCACAGGTGCCCTGGCGGCCTCTCCATCCATAGTAATCACAGCTTAAATGTGAGATAGCATCCACAGTGAATGGATGCTGTCTTTCAAAAAGGTAAATCGCTTTTTCGATGCACTTTTGTGTGTGGACATTCACTTTTGGAAGAAGATTTTTTGGAAGATCTCTTCTGAAAAAAGGGTCTTCTGAAAGAAGCCTGCAGTCTAGACATAGCCTCTGTTCCCTCCTTCCTGTCATGGTAGCCTCTGATAACTCCTTGTCTAACTTTACCTGGTAAAGTCTCCAAGGCAATAGTCATATATTTCCATCTGTTTTGGCAAACCTAGCAAATTTTTGGGCACTATGAGAAATCACTTATCGATAAAACATTCATCAACAGTTGTCACCAGTAGGATGTAGTAGGTCCTACTGGACTCGTTGCAGTTCCCACTCTCAATCCCCTCCACTGCCAGCTGCATTTCCCTGGGCCTCATTCTGGGCCCCTCAATGTAGGCCCTCTTCCATTGTTATTTGCAGTGTTTATGTATCTGTATCAGTCCCAGAATATTAGCGAGACAAGATGGGTGAGGTGACATCTTTTATTGAACTAACATCTGATAGTGGGAGAGAGAAGCTTTCAAGCTACATGAAGTTCTTCAGGTCTGGGAAAGGTGCTCAGCGTATCCTCCAGATCTGAAGAAGAGCTCTGTGTAACTCAAAATTTTGTGTCTCTCACCAACAGAAGTTGGTCCAATAAAATATATCACCTTGCTCATCTTGTTTCATCAAAGAGCTAACTTCTGATCAGTTATGTCCCTTTCTCTTCTTCAGCTGCAATGCAGTTATATTTTTGACCCCATACAGTTGCTGGACAAATATGGGAAAATAAAGTGGGAATGGTAAAAGGCAAATCTAGCCCCACTAAAGTTCATGGCACTTTTGACTCCACACTTGATGTGTTTTAGGAGATGATTTTGATGCTATGGAATAGTTCAATACAAAACTAAATTGAAATGTGAACATAAATAATGCCATGTTTATGTTTAACTAACTGGAAAATGTATTCTTAACTATTGCTTTAACATATCTCTCTCTCCTCTATATTTGCCCTTTAGATGTTAACTGAACTCTCATGATACGATCCAGCAGGCCTTTAAGAATCAACTTCTATTTCCATAATGGTAACAAATACAACCCAACTGGACAATGATACACTGGACATGCTTCAGAACAAAGTTATTCAAAGCACCCTCCCAGCTGTGTACTTCTCGGTGGCCATCATCAGCATCCCTGGGCATATATTCTCGCTTTGCGTGTTCTTCCGGCACATCAAACCCAAGACACCTTCAGTCATCTTCATGATTAACCTTAGCATCACAGACCTTACCCTGGCATTCTGTTTACCTTTCCAGATTAGCTATCACTGGAAAAACAACAACTGGATCTTTGGTAAGAGCATTTGCAGCTTAGTCACAGTGATGTTCTACACAAACATGTATACTTCCATACTCACCATGACCTGCATCAGCATCGAGAGGTACTTGGGAGTGGTGTATCCCATGAAATTAGTCCAGTGGAGAAGAAAGAGATATGCTCTAGCTGCCTGCTTGGGGATGTGGGCCTTTTTGCTATTAGCTCTGTACCCACTGGCAAGCTCAGATCTGACCTATGAAGTAAAAGCATTAGGGATCATAACTTGTTTTGACGTGCTGAAATGGGATATGTTGCCCAATATTGCAGCATGGGCAATTTTTCTTCTCACGCTGTTTGTTCTTCTCTTCCTGATCCCATTCATAGTGACAGTAGTCTGCTACATAGCCACTATTCGGAAGCTCATTCAGACTTCTAGCAAACAAGGGAGTAGGCAGAAGACTAGATCTATTTACTTGGCTGCAGTTGTCCTCTTGGTATTCGTCACTTGCTTCGCCCCTAATAACTTCATTCTATTTGTGCACATGATCAGCCGTCTCTTTTTCGAAAAGAGCTTCTACCCTGCTTACAAGCTCACCCTGGGCCTCAGTTGCCTGAACAACTGCCTAGATCCATTTGTTTACTATTTCGTATCCAAAGAATTTTATCAGGCAATAAGATGTAAAGCACCGTACAATGACAGTTTGGAGACCAGAAGGGAAAGTTTATTCTCTGGCAGGACAATGTCAGTCAGGTCTATGTCAAGTGGGCCTATGGAAGGGTTAGATGGAGTTAAGGATTGTTTGCAAAGACAAGAAAGTGTTTTTTAACTACAGTTATAAAAGCAGTAGTAAGGCAGTAGTAAGCTATCAAGTGGAACAAAAAGCCCCCTCATTTTTTAGTAAACAATGTTCTGGGAAACATCAATGCCTGTAGCATCAAAAGTCCAACCACACTGAACAGAAAGTGTCTCACGCATGTCTAAAAATCAATAACCACTTTCTGGGAAGGACTAGAGAAGGAGTATGGTGAACCAACATTATCAAAGGAGGAACGTCACCCTATGTGAATCCAGTGATCCAAGATCAAGTTGGAAAAGATGCAGAAAGAATTGCTTCTACTAAACACTTCCAAATGTGACTGAAAAGCAAGGACAAACCAAAAGTACTGCAGATTTTGAGATCTCAATGCTTAGACAAATACTTATGAGTCTTGTTATACTAAAGGGAAATCCTGTAAAAGTAGTTTGGGGGGCTTTGTAAATAATGTTAATTTAGGTATGAATTTCTTGTTGTGTTGCTGCAGCACAAAAATGAACAATGTCTTGGTATTTTATCATTAATGCTTATGTGTAGCCTCTGTGAACTAATCACAACAGTTATGTATCACTTGCTTGATTTATACGTGTGCTAACCTAACCACATAAACCTTCAAAGAGGTTAGCTTGGTTAATAGCTATTTATTTCAATTTCGTCTATCAAAATATCTCCTAAAATGAAGTAAAAAAGAAAGGCCAACATCAGTACCCTCAACCACATCAATGCCCCAGCTGCTGAGTGGTTGCATCATTGTTAAATCTAGATAATTCTAAGGGGCAATGGTGAAGTGAAGATGGCTTACATGGCAATTTTCTTACATTGACCCACTACATGAATATTGCTGAGCTCGCATCCCCTTAACTTAGTTTATTTGTTTGTTTTATAATGGGCTAAACTCTCTGCCCCGCTGCTGAATACAGTTCCCACTGCAGTCAGTGATACTATTGCTTTATGTATTTTATGAACAGTATTTTTGCTTTTTCTCTAGGATCTAGTACACATAATGGTCTAAATTCTCCATCTAGTATGAATGGGAGTAATCCAATTGATCTCAACTGCATTACACGACTGCCTGCAGTATAGACAGCGCCAAAAGCTGAGTTAAGGTACTTCAGCTGCATTACATGAACGTAAACATGCTGAGGATTTGTCTCCTAAATCATGACATTATCTCATTTGCTTTTGATATTTTACATATCTGGACTATTTGTTTTACAGAGAGAGAGGACGAAAAGCACTGGGCAGTTGACATTTAAAAACTTTCCTGGTGCTTAATGCATATATTATCAGTGCTGTGGCATGTTCTGGTCCTCAGTATCCTATCCCAACATAGTGCATAATACCATGCATCTCCTCATAGCTCAGCAAATGAATGTTTGCTTATATATACAATAAAACAGCATCTATATTTTTCTTTTTAATCTGAAACAACTTTTTTCCCTAAATTTTATGAAATTATATGTAACTTCAACACTGGTGAAAATGAGGAGCTAATGCCACTTTTTAGAGCCAAACAAGCTTCCTTGACCGTCAGGTCAAGACAACTCAGCAATACTTCTAACATCCTAGGGCTTGATCAAACTCCCAAGTAGCTCAGCGGGAAGTTTACTATTGATATTGATGAGCACTAGATCAGGCCTCAAGCAGTAGGCCAGTCCGGAATAGCAACTGCCAACAGTGCTCGACTATATGGTAATTCCATAACATAGACAAAAATGTTTAAAAGGTAATAGATTAGATGATTAAAATATATCTGCCTTTTTATCTAAGGTATGATTCAAATTCAGTAATCTAAATGTGACTCGTTCTATACATTAGCCTCATGCACCACCTATTCTCTAAAGTTTGTGTTTTGTTGTAGTCACTGGATAACCAAAAGCTTGTTTTAGAATTTATATGGATTTTTCTTACTTATTATCCTTGCATGTCAAATGATCAGTAATATTTTTATGCAGTCCATAGAAACTCTGATTATCTTTAAAAAAATACCTTGCACATTAACTTTCTTTAAGCACATGGGTATGGAAAGAAAGAAAGAAAGAAAGAAAGAAAGAAAGAAAGAAAGAAAGAAAGAAAGAAAGAAAGAAAGAAAGAAAGAAAGAAAGAAAGAAAGAAAATCTGGATATGCATTATAGTTACAGTGTCTGAGAAGACACAGAGCAGATGCCCTTTAATCCATCCCACATCCATCATATAGAAATTCAGTGAAATTATGTATTGCAAACATCCTTATGGGTTTAACAGCACATGATTCTACTTTGCTATTTAAACCATTCAGGCATCAGCTTTCTACCAAACCTGTGCGCTACACTTGATTATGGCAGCAATTTTCCTTTGAGTTACATATTTAAATATACAAATGGGTGGTTTACATATAAATATTGTCTAATGAAAATTTGGTAATTTTTCCAAATTTCTAGTGCAGATTTTTTTATGTGTTTTAGTTGGGTCCCATCGTGTCAGGGACTGAAGGCTCTTAACTGTCACTTATTTCAAAGGGAATTTGAAAGTGCAGACACTTTGCAGGATGAGACCATAAGACATTAATGATCTTTCTGCAATAATAAAGGTCAGCCCCACTGGCTGGAAATGCTTTTTCCCTCATCCCCACCCAGCCCTTCAGACCATTCCATCCTTCTTTTGGTGCTGCCTAACAATACATCTGAAGGATGTGTCAGTCAGGTTCCAGAACACTTGGAAGTTTCTCATGTACTCTGTTAAATAACCACCAGGGGCTAGATCTTGGCATCCCTAGTCAGGCAAAACGCCTGTCAAAGACAATGGGATTGTTGCCTGAGTGAAGAACATAGCATCTGGCCCTATGTACATAATCGTTAGGATTCAGTAGTATGTGTTGTGAAGGTAACTGGCAATGAAATCTCTTCCTATTTTCATAAAGAGCACTCTGGAGAATTGTTCTGTGAACCACTGAATATATTCCCTTGTGGGATGTCATTTTACCACCCTTCATGTTCAACATGCAGACAAGGACCTCTAAAAATAGAAGCACAGCTGTGTTGGCAAGTACAGCAGGATACATTTGCTATAAGATACTAGGTATGTCCTTGTAGCAACTAACCCCATCCTCCCTTAGCTGTACTGATACATTCAGCATGCTAGCTCAGTTGAGGGTAGTGAGCATAGCTCTACACAAGTTCAACATGGATACATCTATATTACAGAGGAAAACTGAAGCTACCACTGTCGATATTCCAGGGTTCAATTTAGTGGGTCTAGTGAAGACAGCTAATTTGAACTGAGAGGGGCACTCTGGTCGATGTCGGTAGTCCTGCTTCCACGAGAAGTAAGGGAAGTCGAAGGGAGAGTGTTCTCCCTTCGACTTTCCTCAGTACAGACAGCACCAAAAGCTGAGTTAAGGTACTTTTACTTTAGTTATATACTTTTACTTAAGTTATACATATCTTAATTCAACTTTGCCCTGTAGTGTAGACATACCCATGGGCATGACACCTATAGCTTAAAGTGTGGCTATCACCCTTCCATATAGTGCTTTAACTCTGTGGAAATATAGACTTCTGAAGAAGTTGGATCAATTGTTTATCAATAGTTTGGGTAGTTGGTTGAATTTTGTGATGATTGCATAGGTTTCTGATTTTTTTCTATTTGCTGGATGATATAATTGCTGTGAAGATGGTGGGCATTTTTTCCATGTGGTTAATAAAACAAATATAAAGACGCATTCTAAGAATGTTTCCTTTGTGTGTGTGTATACAATGTATGAGTTACTCTTAAGCTTGCAAAAGGACAGGGCAGCTAAGTGTGAAGTAAAAGATGCCTTAGCATCTTGGAGGCTGACTATTTTGCATTTCTGTTCAGATCCTTTTGTCTTATAAAAGCCATGACCAGCATTAGCATATACACTTTCCTCAATCAAGCTTGTAAAGGAGATTTTTAAAACACCATAAAATAAGACTTTAGCTTTGTAAAGGCCTGGGCAGTCCCTGCACTTCCTCAGGATGCATTTACAGATGTGTTCCCCCACCTTAATTGCCCCTAATTGACAACACTGCATTCACAATGCCAGACTGGTCAAGGAGCAGCCAATGCACACAAATAGCAAGTCCCGTTTTTTAATAAGGCTTCAGAATGGGGGCTATTCAAACAATTCATAAAGTCTTCCACTTAGGGTCCTGGTTCAGAGCTCTCAACTTAATCAACACCATGTGTTTGAGTCTGCTCTCCTACAGCCTGAGAGAAACCACCAACCACAAAGCTTTTACACTCTTCTCCCTTACTTGGCTTCCTCTGCCTATTTATCTAGCCCAGGCCTTGTTGGTTTCACCCCTAGGATACTACAGCTACAGGCTCCTGCCTGTTCCTTAAAGGGATAGTATTTTCCTTCACAAATTTACATTCAGATTTTCCTCAGTTGCATGGAAGCTACACTCCTGTACAGTTTTTCTTCATTTCATTGCAATTTGCAAATATATATTCTTAATATCTGTGCATTTTTGGTGTTCATTAGCAGTAATGATACATTCAACTATATGTGTTAACTTATATAGTATACATTTATCAATGCATCAAGAGGAAAATGGTTTTATAAATAACACAGTTGCCTGATCTAATCCTATTCTCTGAACCAATGTGAATCTTGTGGGTGGAACCGTTCAATCCTTCAGCCCCAGGGTCTGGATAATGACTGCTGACCAGTCAACTAGACCCTGAAACCCCAGTTATGTAGACATGTTTCCCCTTCCTTTCCTGTGGAGTCCACTTAACAATGTCTACGCTGTCGTTTTTTTGTGGAAGAGAATATGCAAATCACGCTCATTTGCATATCTCCTTCCAATTCTTTTTGTGGAGACCTTTTGTTAATAAAAAGCCCCGTATAGACGGGGCCATTTGTCAGAAAAAAACCCTTTTTCCCAAGATCCCTTATTCCTCAAAAATGAGGTTTACAGGATCTTGCAAAAAAGGTTTTTTTCTGACAAATGGCCCTGTTTGCATGGGCTTTTTATCAGCAAAACCTTTTCCGCAAAAAGAATTGGAAAAAGATATGCAAACGAGAGTGTGATTTGCATATCCTCTTCTGCAAAAAAAAGCACTGTAGCCAGGTGATTTCTAATCTCTTGCTACTCTGTTGAAGGACCATGAGGCAGGTAAAGTAAGGAATACAGGTATAACCAGGGCTCGCCGAACCACGGCGAGCCCCGCTCGCCAGCCATGCTGTCCAGCGCAGATTGTTCTGCGCATGCGCAGACCGCCCGAACCCGGCTCTTCTGGGTTACAATCTACTCGCCACGGGCAAGTAGATTGTATAATTTGTCGAGCCCTGGGCATAACACCCTAAAGTCTTTAACGTGCATTTTACTCTTAAGCACAAGTACCAGTACAGATCTAGGTAAAACAACACACAACTGAATGCCATTTCCAACCAGACTGATACCATCTCTCTGCTTGGTCCAAGATCTGCCAGTGTTCTGCCTAAGAGAGATTCCCTTTTCTCACCTGCAGCAGAGGTCAGCTCCCTATGCTTTACTTTTCAAAACAATTTCTGACATCTTTCCTCACTTCTCTTCTGATGCTGGGATTTTCCATTCTCCAGCCCCACCTCTCTGGGCTGCTGAGAATAATGTTGCTAACAGTTAATGGTTCTGCCGGTAGCTCTCAGTTGTCTCTATTGGGTAGGACTATTCAAAATAGATGGAACTGTTTCAACTTCTCAGCCATGAGCCTGGTCTACACATAAATTTTGCTAACATAGCTATCTCAGTCAGGGACGTCATCTTCACTCCACCACACACACTGACACACCTCTGACTAATATAGTTATGACTGCAAAAGCTCTATTGTAGATGCAATCATACCAGCAAAAAATCATTGCTTACTCTGTTAGGGGAACTTGTATAAAAGAACTCTTTAGCCAGTATAAGTTAAATCTCCACTTGGGAGTTTGGCAAATTCTTCCAAGTGCAGACAATTCTATAATCTGTCTTCTGCCCCCAATCAAAGTTCTAATCTACAGTGACAAATACAACTAGTATTTATAAAACCAAATGGCATTCAAGACTGGATACAGACATACCCCCCAAAGTATCATGAACACCTTTTGATAAGTCATGTCAAAAGAAAGACTTAGCATTTAAGGTGCTCATACTTGCCAAAGAACTTTGTCCCATCCCTCAAAAAAAAAAAGTATTAAAAAAAAGCCCTGATGACAGCCCATGTAGCAATTTTGAGACCATACATTGCTGTGCCCACGAAAGCTCATGATACCATCTACATGTTTTGTTAGTATATAAAGTGCTACCAGACCATTTGTTGTGTTTTAATTAAATATTGTCATCTTTAAAATGGTCAAGAAAGCAAAGCTTCTCCAACTCTCAAAATCTGAAAACAGATTTAATGTTGCCACCTCAGAAAGCAGAGATTTGGGTTAATACATTAAAAAGCCCAAAATGGATTGGGAAAGGGTTTGAAAGCTAACTGGACCTTGTGTGCATATACACACCAATAATCAATAGGATGTTCTCATACCATAATTCTACTACACGGAGTGACTCTGCATTTATGTCAATGTCATCAAGAGTAGAATATGATCCATACTATACACTTCCATGTATTCACAAAGTGACAAGGTGTATTTTAGACTACAGCTTCCCAAATGCTGTTAAACTCACTTAACAAGACTTTAAACTATATATCCTTTCAGTGAATATTTGATTAGAAAATATAGTTCCACTTTGTATCGTGTCTATGAACAATCCCGTATCTAATATTGCCTTACAATGTTGCCAAATTTTCTGATTTTTTTTTTGTGGTTTTTACTGGTTTTTTTTCTTAGAGGCACAGAATTGTGCTGGAATTATGCTATTACTTGAACCTCTTCAATTTTTTTAAAGAGCTCTTCTAGTTGAAGAGAAACCCTTGAAAATGTAAAGTGTGCTGTAAAGAATGAAAAATCAGAGGCAGAGAAAAATAGCCCAACATTTACTATTTACAACAATCTCATGATTTTTGAATATTTCTGATTGGCTGCTCTTACCTGTAAGGCCTGTGCATTACTACAACTGGGACTCAAAATGGGACCTTGATAGTCCACAAGCAGTTCAGATATATGAAACAAAGAAATCCTCCCTTTGGCTAATCTAGTTAAAACAGTTCCAAGTGTGTCTGGCTAGCCAATAGCATTAAGACAGGATTTTGAAATTTGGGGGAAGAAAATTACACTCTGGTTCAGAAGGAACAACTGGCACATGTCTTCAGTTGCCACATCATAGCTATAACAAGCCATTTGGGGTAAAGCAAAGGAACCACCCACCAGCATGCAAGGGGTTAACTTAGGCCTGGCTAGCCCTGCTCCATAATACCTGCAGCCAAAGTCAGGCCTAGAGGGGAGAGAAAAGGCCCAGCTTGAGGGCTGACTGGTGAAGAGGCAGGAGCTAGCTGCCTCCCTACTTGACATAAGGCTCGCTAGCCTGCAGGCTGAGGCAGTCACCAGAGATGAAGCACTGTCTTTCTGGCCAAAAAAAGCAGAAAAAGAAGCCTAGGAGCACCTCGCCTGTAAGGAATCCTAGTGACCAAAGCACAGAGACCTTATGGGGGTTCTGACCCCACCAAACTTCCAGCTACCCTACCTGGAGGAACCGGGGGACCACAGCAAGATGCCACCCAAGGTGCACTACTAGGAGATAAGCCATCACTGGAACTTTGACCATAGGGCACTGGCTCTCAAAGGGTCCTCTAGTGGTCCACAGCTGCCTCCCAAGTGGTCCACAGCTGGAGCTCCCCCCCCCACACACACACACACCTCCCGCGGTGCTGCTGCAGTCTTGCAGATGACGCACAGCCATGCGGCTGTAGCACTAGCTCTGGCCGGAAGGCGGGGAGGTGAAGAAGCAAACTCACCGCCCCTCCCCATGCGTGCCGCAGAGCTACACGTGAAGGAGCACCACCTCCATGGTAAAAGTGGCATGTCACTCTCTTGGTCCCGCAGGGCAGGAAGAAGGTTGGACTGTGCAGGGCTTGGCCAGGCAGGGCAGGCTCTTGTGATGCAGAAGCGGCCGGTGCCCACACATTCCCTGGCGGCAGGTTGGGCTGCACCGCACCATGCCTGGCAGCAGTGAAAGGCGACACTGGGACTGAGGACCCTGCACATGCAGGAGGCAGGTGGGGACTTGCAGCCTTTAGAGAGGCTTTTCCCCTCCAGGGACTTGGTCTGGAGGGAGGGGCTGAGTAGTGGCTCAGACCCCAAGGTCAACATGTGTAGGGATAACATATTAATGTATTGAAAATGATTCCCCAAATGGAAGTG